TTGTATATTGAAACGTGATCATCATTGTCTTTTTACTGGATATTGTATTGGTCATCATAATCATCGTTATTTCATATACTTCTTAATATATTTGGTCATTGGTTCAGCTTATACAACCTGTTATAATAGTGTATATTTCTGGTGGTTACACGCTGATACTTATGCCAATGCCAGTACAATTTTAAAAATAATTTTACCAATGTTTATGCTAACGTTTAATTATTCATGGGCTAATTTTTATTTACTTATTTATGTGTTGAACATAATTACATTTGCATTTTCTTTGGTATTACTAATATACCATATACCAAGCATTCTCAAAGGTGCTGTGGCTTATGAGCGTACATCCCCTAAATACGATCTTGGTTGGAAGCAGAATTTAGAAATGGTATTGGGTAAACGAATGCATCTTGTTTGGATTTCACCATTTATATATAGTCCATTACCGCATGATGGGATACACTGGGAAACAATATTACAGCAATCAGTAAAAAATCGTTAAATAAAAAAAATTTTTTTATATTGTATGAACTATAGCATTTAGTCAATTTTCATGTCATTTTATTAAGGTTCTCAAAGCAGTATTGAATCATTTTTTAAAACAAAAAAATTTATGCCATTTTTACACAAATTTATTTATAATATTTATAGGAAATTTTTTTTTTATTAAAAAGCATTTGTAAATGTTTACAAATTAATTCATAAATGTATTTATTGTTAATATATTATACATTTCATATACCAAAGAATATTATATATTTTAATTTAGTAACTTTATCAAAATATTTTTAAGAATTATTGTGGATTGTTATCACGACAAAAATATAATTAATATCTTTTTCTATGGACACATTTCAATACAAGTACATTAAAAGAAATAAATGCGTTTTGAAATTTAAATGATGTGAAGTTAAGATATTTATGCTTTGGTTAGTGTCACTAATTAAATAAAAAACCTGAAGCATTGAAAATTTGTGTAGCCTTGGCTACTTGCGAAAAAACACGACTAGTCGTCGCTTCTAATTTGACAGGCCTGAGTTCTAAGTCTGGCACTTGCAGTCGAAACGACTACAAACTAATTAAAAAAAATTCGAATATTTCCTAAACCCATTGATGATACTGATAAGTACTGGGCAATTCTCGAAACAGCGTTGTAAGGTCAACCAAATTTCAATAAATTAACTAAATATTTGTCTTTGTCGTTTCTTTTCTATTCGAATCCGTCTAACTTTTAAATAGATAGTTTCTTTTCGTCATAAAGATGCGTCACTCTTGGGAAAAAAAATATAACATTAAGATATTTTTTTTAATACGTTTTGATGTTTTCAAATAATACCCTTAATCAGTTTTCTTAATTAGTTTTCTTGAAGTTGTTAGGTGTATTCACTTTATTTTTGTATTGATTTTTTTTAACTTTTTACTTATGTTTTCACTTTGCAGCTCAAAAAATAAGCGCTACCTAGCCTACAATCTTCTAAGCTGATAAACTCATATTAAGTTGTTGGCTCAATAATATATATATATATATACTTGATGTTGGAAGGATCTACCTTTTGGTGATTGAAATATGTGGTTCATAATAAAGATAGCAGATAGAGTTTATAAAATATAGTTTTTAGATATGGGTAAAGTGTTTAGTTTAACAGAGTACTAATCAGACTTGATAACGTGACTAGAAAAGGTTCTCACGGAGTATAGTTACTTTAGATCAAAATCTGGCAACGAGTTGTAAAGATCATTTAAAATTGAATTAAATAAATTAAATTGGATAGTATTTGTCAACAACAAATATATTTTATAAATGTAAAAATTATTGCAATAACACATATTAATTATTAATAAATATTTACTAATGTATTATTATGTTTAATCACTTAAATATGAATCTCCAACTAATGATTTTATTTTTGATAAGTGCACTTCATTCAAAGTAAATCCATTGTGAATTTGTTTTGCCATCGCCACTGCATTCATATTATTTTCTACTGTGTACTGTAAGCAAACAATAGCTTGTGAAGGTGATTTATGCGTAATACAGCTATTAACGAATTCTAGCAGTGAAGTTTCTGAAGGTGTACCGGGTATACGATGTTGATTTTTATCTATATTTGTGAAAATTTGTGAAGCACTTTCAAAATCGTCGCCACGTACTGTTAATGTTAATATGTCACCAATCATTTGGCCAGTAAATGAAATTTTTTTGGCTCGACCTTGAGTTTCTTGTATTTTATTGTAAATATCAAGCGCTACTTTGGCGAATTGTTGAGGTAATTGTTCTTGGATAGGAATACTTATATCTGGCTTATTGCTTACCATTATGTTAAGTATACGATTTATTAAACTCTCACGACCTAGATGATCAAAGATAATCATGTCGGACCATAAGCGGGGAACGAGTTCAATAGCTGCATTCAGTTCAACAGCTTTTAACAGTTCTTCCATAACACCTGGCTCGGGAATATAGATATTAGGTACTAATTTATCATATGTTTGCATAAATTCCTCAACAGGTTCCGTTTGACAAAGTAATGCAAAATAATGTCGATAATAAACAGATTCTTTAAATGAATCACCAATAAGATTATAGTTATTGCCTGTATGAAGTAGTGCATCGACTTTTCTGGCAATAGATTTGTCATGTAAATGATTTCGGCATACATCCATTGCTGTTACAAAAAAATATGTATCTTTGTGGTGTTCTATAGAAAACTCTTTGTCCTGTATTTCATTTAGTATATCGACAATTACATGCGAAACTGGTGAGCGGTCCCGACAAAATATGGTAAGTATGTAATAATAAGTTCCCAGACTAGGTCGTATATTTAGAAGTTTGAATTCAGCAAGTACTTGCAGTGCGCAGCTACGTGCAAACTTGTAGTTTCCAAATGTGGTTAAACATTCCAGCAGTGAATTCATGGTACCTAAATTTGGCTTAATTTGTAATGTCGCCATTTGTTGCAAAACTTGCCGACAAAGTTCCCAACGTTGATCCGCAGTTTCTTTTAAGAAATTTGTTACACCTAAAATTGCATTGAATGTAGTTGTGTCTAAATCAATTTGTTTTTCTAAAGCCTGCTCAAACATTGCATATGCACGCTCAACCTAGAAAAAAAATTCATTAATAGTTATTTATGAAAAATTTGTTATTACAAAACCTGATAATATTTTGCCATGCCTCTAATTATAGCAGCATAAGTTGAAGTTGTCTTTGGTTCGATTTCATTAAAAATTTGTTCGGCTAAATCTCCATCTTTCCACGTTTTACGACTTCGATCGCGTGTTTCATTATTTTGTTTAAACCAACGTTCTTCAATAAATTCCTCTGGAAGTGGTTCTACATTGTTGTAAAAACAAATTAATTCCAATAGACTTTGTTTCAATTCTGTAGTGATTTCTATGTTTTTCTCTTTCATTATATTGTATACAAATACTGCATCTGTAACTTGGGATCTCAATATGAGATCGTTAAGTGTTGTATTATTTATCACAGATTCCTCATTAAAAACCATTTTAGGCACAAATTCTTCAATAGCAGGTTGTGCTTCTTGATGCTGGAAACAATATTATGTTTAATATTAATAATAATATTAATATTGTGTATTTAATAGTTATTTTCTTACCAAAAATAGTTCTCTATGTTGTTCTCTTATCCATTTTGCTGCTTTTCTGCCAGATTCTTGCGCCATAGCATAAGTACGTTTGCTCATGTTTGAAACAGGTATAAGAAAAGGATCATCGTGGTATTTATAGTGTGGTGCGGTAGGATCTCGACCAACAGTACTGGCTAAAGCATATAATATATCCGTGGAAGAACGATGAATACGATTCGGCACTTCAATTTCTTCATTATTTGCTGTAGCATCCGTCTTTTGCATGCTCACATTAGAAATGCTGTTTATGTAGCGGTTTTTCGTTAACTTATTAATGAATTGAAATCTTCGACTTAAAAACATTTTTGAGTTTTTTAAGTAAAATTATTTATAATGGATTAATTTTCAATTAAATATATATATTAGTGCTCCACAAAAATTCTCTGTTATGAACTGTGGTAGAAAATTTTAAGGTTAACTCAAACAGCTGTTTTAACCAATGACATTTAATGTGCGCGACATCTTGCGGGTAAATATGTATATAATTCAAATATAAACAATATATGTAGGTCTTAGGTACTTTATCTATGCGCATAATATACCTATTAATTAAAAAAAGCTTTAAAAGACAGTAATAAATTGTATATAAAATAGTTTTATTATTATTTTTGTTATTAAAAGATTTTGTTTAATTTAAAAAGTGTAAGTACTGCATTATTAGTTTAGTTTAAAACCAAACAAAGCAAAATAATATTATACGAGTGTACTACAAAAAGTAAATATTAAGTGACATTAAATGAAATATTTGGATATTTTTTTTGTTAGTTTAAAGAAATATTTGTATATATACGCGAGTAATATGTACATATTATAAAACCTTCATTTTTAACTCAAATTCACATTAAAGCCGGTATATGTTGTGCAGTCAGACAGTAATCTGTTGAACGTTGTGAGATTTGGTTGGTTTAGGCTTTTTTATACATTTTTATACAAGTAAGTAGTATTGCAAATAATTTATGAATAATAAGTGTATATAAATATGTATATATGCATATGATAAAAATTGTAAATAGAGCAATATCATTCATTCATGTGGATTTACAAACTGTTGCATTTGTGGTAAAGGAATTATGTTACCACACAGTGGAGCAAATTTAGTAAATACTTCGTATAAATTTGAAATATTTCCAATCGCAGGTATAATGAAGTTAAATAATATACATTGCACATATACATTATTTTAATAATAACAAAATAATTGTATTGTAAATAATTTATAAACAATAAGTATATATATCATAATAATAATTATTATAATAAATTTAGCACATTATTTATGTGGATTTATAAATACTTGCATTTGTGGTGAAGGTCGATATTTCTTGGACGATTTAATTGCAATTAAAATGCGTTGCATGCATATATTGTATATAATATATGTATAAATATTAAATATAAAAATATATACGATAAAATTAAAGTATATAAATATAACTTATTTATTTTTAAATAATATAAAATTTATAATATTATATTATTTACAAAATATCGTCATAAAAGTAGGAATGAAACTTAGATTGTCGAAAATAAGATGTCTCATGGATCTGTAAAATATAAGTTTTATTCTCATACATTTATGATAAAAGAGTTAAAGAAGCACATGTTGGTTTTTTCTAAAAACCATTATTTTAATTAAATAAATTAGTTAAATATTAGCATTGGTACCTGTTTAAAATGCAGTATTTGACAAAGTTAATGCCGTTAAGGTGTAAAGATTAACGTTGATGGTTGCTAATAGGGTTAAATCTTTTAATTTAATTAAATTAATTTATTTACATTTTCAAATTCCGTACATGCAAATTTAACATTATAAGTTATACTCATATTAAATTTTTTGGAATAAAAATTTAGAAAACAGTTTCGATATGGTTGAATTTGCAGCACGGAAGGGTAAAGTTTATATATAAAAAAGTTTTATTCTGTTATTTTTAAATTATAAAATATTTTATTTCGTTTTTCATACTTTCTTGCTATATTACAGATACACAATGCAGAAGCCAGTATTGTATTATGATGATCGTAGTCCCCCAGCGCGTAGCTGTTTAATATTAATAAAAATGTTAAATATCGATGTAGAGTATAAATTTGTAGATTTATTTAAAGGCGAACAATTTCAAAACGAATTTATGCAGGTAAAAAAAAAAATAAATAAATTGAGATAAAATAAGAATTTATATACAATAAATTGCTTTAATTTTAGTTAAATCCGGTTCATACCGTACCCGTTCTTGTTAATGGTGATGATGTAGTATTAACTGACAGCCACGCCATTCTTATATATTTATGCGATATGTTCGAAGATAAAAACGTTAAAAAAGATTTATTTCCAGAACTAATGAGAGACCGTCTGAAAATTATTAATTTACTATTTTTTGAATGTTCAGTTCTATTCCGTAGAGATAGTGATTTAATGGTAGCTATAGTATATAAAAATACAAAAGTTTTATTTATTCCATTTTTTTTTTTGCCATATAGTCGGAAATAGTTCGAAAGGGATTTTCGAATATAGATGTGTCTTATCATGAACGTAAGATTCATGAAGCTTATACTGCAATGGAGAAATTTTTAATGCCTCAAACTTATTTTGCGGGTGATAAGGTAAGTTGGTATATTAGGTAACTGAATACATCACTATTTAGAACTAGCATGAAGCCAAAATACCTTAAAACTAGACTATTTTTTAGTCTAAATTGATCTCAATTCATTAATTACTGCTTTTGTTATTAGACAAATTCATCTTTTAAATGCAAAAAAAGAATGCAGATTCCCTAAATTCATCTCCATTAATTAATTACTGGTTTTCTTATTAGACATATTCATCTTATAGATGCAAATAAAGAATGCAAATTATAGATTTTGTAAAGCGGTAAGTAAAACTTCCACCCATCTTCTGTTCTCAAATCCACGGATTATATAAAAAGGTTTTGAAACTTGAATTAAATTTAGTGCTACATCTCAAAAACTTTAGTGCTATGGGTTATACAAACCCTAGAAAATAGATTTCCATATCAATGCAATTTAGGCTTTTTGTAAATCTCATAGTCATGACCTTCTCAAAATGTTGTTTAGACTCTGAAAAAATTTAAAGTATCTCAACAATATAAATATTTCAAACCTAACATAACTTAGAATAACAGGAATTCACATCAGGATTTAATAGACGCATTTGTAGCGTCCTTTTTATATATTTAATTATAAAATTCTCCACGCATATTTCTCATATCTACCAGTAGCCTTGATAGTATTATAACTTTATTCATGCTGTAATCTAACAAATTTATTTTGAATTTTCCAATATTTTATTTATTTAACAATCAACATTCATCCTGATTACATAAAAAAATTAACCATTTCGCTATTAATACTACCGGATTATAAAGTAAATATATCTGTACACATGGAGTGCTTTATTATAACATTTATAATTTTTCTATAGATTGTGTAGCTACCGTGCTAAACTAGCCTGCAAACACATTCTAAGATTAAATTAGAAGTTTGAAATTGGGAACCAAATTACATTGCTTATGTGTTTCCATTAAGTTTATATATACATATATACATATATTTATATATTATATATATACATATATGTATATTGATATTATATATATATTTTATTAAAACAAAAATTAATAAATATTATTTTTAAACCACAAATACGTTGAAATTTACATAATTTTTAATTTATTTTTAGTTAACCATAGCTGATGTATCTCTGATAACCACAGCGAGTACAGTGAATCTAATGTTTCCGATTGATAAACGTTGGCCTCGCCTCTTGAAGTGGTTCCAAAGCATGCAAGCTCTACCGGAATATGAAGTCAATAGCATTGGCTTAGAAAAGTTGCGAAATGTTGTGGAACAAATGGGAAAGTTTAAGTTTCCTTCCTCGAAGTAAAACTATATATATTTAAATATGCATCAATGTATACTTTGAGATAAATGATTAAAATTAAAATAATTTTTTTTTGGTTTAGTAAATATTAATTTTGTTAAGTTTTTTTTTTGTTTTGGTACATAATTTTCGACAATGCAAAATTTTCTGTAAAATTGTAAGCAAGGGCATCGGTGCAAAAATCACGTTTCACAGAAATGGATGAGAAGGCCACATTATATTATGATTTAAGTCCACAATCATGTAGTTGCTTAATGCTCATCCACTTGTTAGATATAGACGATGTGAAACTGTGTGATGTAGAAAAAATTAAAAATGATCGTAAGGTATATCACGTTACCATAATAAGTAAAAATTATTACCTATCAAATTGTTGTAATCCCATTTAATCCTTTGTGAATGTATCCTTAGTATATGATTGATGCAGAGAATGAGCCACCTGTACCCGCATTGGTTATAGAGGATCTTGTACTTGTTAATAGTCATACGATTCTAATGTATTTGTGTGAAGCTCATAATGATGTATCGTTTTTTCCGGAAGATTCTGAGAAACGTTCAAATATCACACATAGACTGCAATTCGAGGCTAAAGTAATGCAGGAATTGTATATAACAATTGTTGTAAATATCATTATATTGACGATCATACGAAACATATTTGATTCTAATTTGAATATTTACTTTAGGAAAATATTAAACAAAAGAACATGCCTACTGCTTTACACAATTCTTTTAAACAAAAAACGGAAAAAATTTATACCGAACTGAATACATTTTTAACCTTATGGAATTATGTCGCAGCAAATACTGTAAGTATGTTTGGTTATTATTATCATGCGACTATCATGCAATAGAGGAAAAACATTTTATGAGTGGAGGGGATGGTTGGTGTCGATTTTCAATATATATTCTACTCAATACTTAATAATGCTAGAAATTGACTTAAATCGTTTCACTCGAAAACTGTAGTTATTACTTCCTCACTTAATTATCGCTTGTGGTAATTTTGTATCACAATAATTTTGAATTAGTATTTTTAATTTTTTCTATTGAAAACAATAAAATTTATAACTCTATTTATATTAAGTATAATAAGTATACTTATTATAATAAGTATAATTATTTCATTATTACAATATTATGTTTGGGGAATTTCCATTGTAAACTAGAGTTCTATTATGTCCCAAATGCAATTTCCTCCATAAATTGTAGTATTGTACCCCGAGTTGTATTTCTTCATCCAATATGAGATGCGCACCTAGATACTTCCTTCGTTTATGCATTAGTGCTGGCCAAACTATTCTGCAGAACTAAAAAGTTTCATGAGAGTAAGTTATTGCAATATTCTGTCAGAATTCCGGTTATGATTTTTATATTGTTTTTATTTAGTTGCATACAATCCTTCAACTGTTTGAGGTTGAAAAGTCCTATAAGCGATTTCGATAATCGCTTTAGTAGATTTGGTAGTTAGTCGCAGCATAGCTTTCTTTATTCTTTCTGAATAGGAATTACTACCTAACAGTATGATTCCGGGCTTCGAGGTCGAGGTTTATGGGTTCAACTCCGATCAATAAACTACTGTACTAGTTTTTTTTTCAGTGAGGATCGTTAGTTTACCAAGTTAGTATGTTCTAGTTTATGTTATAGGCTTTATATATACCAACCCATTTATAATTGTTACTGAGTTCAGTTTTAAAATGTTTTCTGAAAGCAAACTATGGGAGCAGATGTCTTTTCGTATTAAAATCTCAAGAAGTTGTTTCGCAAGGATTTTACATTTCTTGCGATTGATTAATACAATTGCTTGATGTTATCTTCCAATTTCACAGTTATCTGTATGAACACTCTCTTTGCTTGTAATTGAATATGAATGCAAAGAGGGGTAAGTTCTAATAAAATATAAATAAGATCCATTGGATACGTTCGTATTGCTGCCGTTATTTGCGCCCTTTTGTGTGTGTTAATTTGTGTTTGTTCATGTGTTTGATAATTATTGTTTTAGTTTGAAGCTCCAACTATTTGGAAGTGTTTTTGATTTGGACCTAGAATAGTGTCCATCTAAACGTGTAAAAAGTTTTATTACATGGTCACACATATTTCATTACGATTAGTATTAGTAAGGTAGACGTTCGTTGCCATGTGCTTCATTGGGAGTGAGGGATGATGGAAACCTCACACGTATATAAGTGTTTATTTAAGTTAGAAATAGTTATAGTAGTGTATGGAATCAAACTAGGATTCTAAGATTAAACACGTTAAAAATTATGATTAAATTGCTTTTTTGTGGATATTTCTGATATTTATTGGGAAAGATATATTGACTTATCAAATGACTTTTACGTATCGTAATAATTTATTACATTAAACACTTTTAGTTGACTATTGCTGATATCGCAATTTTGAGTACAGTGAGTGTTTTCAATTTGTTATTTCCCATATATGAGAGCATAGAGATATGGCCAAATTTGTGGATCTGGTTTAATCGTATGCGTAAAATGTCTGCATATAAATTAAATGAAGGCGGTACGTATTGCATTCGCTATCTACTAGTACACAGAATTAAACTTAACCATTTTTAAATATATTCTGCAGTTATTGAGCATCAACGACAATTATTCATACATTACATAAACAGTCGGAAAGTAGAGTTCGCATTATCAGAAAGTGAAATATGTGATTCTAATAGTTCTACATCTTTTTCTAAAAGTGATATTAGTTTTGAAGATGAATTGAAAAAGAAACATAAACGTCACATTACTGGTGAAGAGATAAAAAGAATATGTAGAAAATATGGTAATCTATTATATATAATTTTGTAGTTCTCATCTTAAGTTGTATATTTTATTTGTAGCAGATCGATGTAAATTGAGTAATACAAATGTTAATATAAGAACTCTTGGTGGTGCGAGTCCACTAAGTGATAAAGCTAGTCAAGCAACAAGTTCGGATATAGCAGAAGCTACTAGACGAAGAAGTATAAACAACCAAATGGACAGGGATAGAGAAAGTGCGGCTATACAAACAGACGCCGAAGTGCTACCAACAGATGATTTATTTATTTACGGATTTTCAACTTCTAAAGCTGTACCAAGAGACGTGACTGCAAATAACTATCAAGATTTTAAACATTGGATAAGTAATGAAATGCAACAACTTTATCATGAAAATGTTAAAAAAATGAATTATTCTCGAATACAGGCATTAGAAAATAATGACCAGACTGATAACGAAACTAGATCGTTCGGTCGAGTTAGTAATTTCATGGAGGATAGTATTAAAGTAAAGGTGCCACCGCGCTCCGGTAGTGTTATGTCGCGCAACAATTATGTAAATGCAGCAGATGTACCTGATAAATTCAGAGCTTTTCCAAGTTTTGATACAATTGAAAACAATCAACAAATATATGAAAATTATAAAAGTAATGAAAATTCACCGAAATTTAAAGAATACGAAAATAATATAAAATCAGATAAAACTAGGGAACGATATAATAGGAAAAAATCTGATAAAACTGGAAGAGAAGATAATAATAAAAAGTTAGACAAAACTAGAGAACAAGAATATAATAAAAACACTTATGAAAGGTACGAAGAAGAAGAAAAGGTACATTTTTATGAAACTGTAGCAGAAGAAAATAATATGTATGCTGATGAAATAAACGTGTATCAGAACATTGAAGGTATGGATAAATTTGGTGAAAATCCTGTATACAAAAAAAATTATGAAAAATACAACAATTCGAATGAAAGAAAACAATACCAAAAAACTAAAGAAGAGATTGAAAGTGAAAATGTATATCAATTAGATGATGATCAATTAGAAGCTGAGTCAGAGTGCAGTTGTACACAATCTTCAGAAGTGGAAGATTCCTTTTCTGCTAGTTATAGTGAAACGGAATTGCTTGAAAAAAATTTAAAAAATGAAAATATATGGGAATCATGTTCGTGCAGTGCAGCTACAGAGGAAATAAGCGATAATTCATTTTGTAGTTGCATGCGGGAGAATTACAATGACTATGTAATTCCAAATCAAAATGATTTCACTATAGGTTATTCCAAGAACAATACCATAAATAAAAATACTAAAAGAAACGATGATTTTGAACGAATATGTGCAGAATTTGTAAGAAGTCTTAATACCTGCAGATGTGATAACTTTATTGATTCACATAATTTATCTACGCCACCGGCTAGTAGTCAGAGTTCTAACGACACATCCGTAACATCCGGCTCTTGTACTTGTACCACCAACAAGGGTTCAGAAAAACGTTCTACTAGTAAAAGCAAAAAAACAGCAAAAAAAACGAATGCGTCGAGCAAAGTGAAATCAGAAAAAAAAACTAAGTCACGCTCGAATAGTAAAGGTAAAAAGGTTAAAAGTGCTACTTCGAAAAAAAAATCAAGTACAACTACAAAGGCTACTTGTAAGTGCGTAACCAATGATACAGAAACTAGTAATTATACTGGTGAGACAAACTATTCAAGTGCAGCAACCAAACCGATTTGTGGGTGCGGTAACAGTAATACACAAAGTGATTCTCGAATGGTTGAGAGAAGAAGTTCAAGAGATTCGTCAAAAGCAACTTGCAAGTGCGTACCTAGTGATACATATCATAATACTCCAATAGGTGGAACAAATGGTTTAAGTGGTGGATCAAAACCCACTTGTAAGTGCGTAAAAAATGATAAAAGTAACAATCGAATCAAAACTTCATCAAATAGTTTTAATGATATTAAATTAATGTGCTGTGAAATTTTAAATCATTTGAAGAGCCAAAGAGAGTCACAATCAAATGAGCAGAAAAAAAATAAGAATAGAAGTTGTTCATGTAAGGTTTCTAATGATACTGATTCTCAGTCATCACAAGAATCTTATGTTAATGCAACCAAAAAAGCAGAGTCTTGTAAATGTAAAATGCGTAACAACTTTGATGATATTCGTACAAATAACACGAAGTCATCAGATAAATATTCTAGTCTAAATAGAATGAAACCTCAAAACAATTCCTTTTCATCAGAAGTAAGCAAAAAGTCATGT